TGACATAACCTATCTGATTTTATAAATGGCCAGTTGTAATCAGGTGTGGTATTATTCAGCAAAACAATAAAAGATTGCATTAATGGAGTTTAAATGTCCAAGAAGCATAAATATTTTTGCTCCCACTGAGCTTGTTTGCCTGCTTTAAATCTTACCTTTCATATTTACCCATGGTACACTTGCAAAAAAATTATATACTTTATGACACTTTTATATTTTTGTCTCTGTTTTGGAAAAAATAAAACCCTTTCTTCTTGCTGATACATCTGGTACTTTGAGTGCTTAAAAACAGCTCAATTGATTACTTTTGATTTAAAAACTTCTGAGAAGGAAATTGCATAACAAGACTGGGAGTTCAAATATGTGAGTTTTGGCAAAGAACTGCGGAAGAAAGGCCTGGCTGTAGGAACCTCACAAGAAAAGAACTTGACATTTTGAAAAATTTTTATTGACCGGTGTGAACAGGGAACGGGAAGTCAAATCACTCTCACAGGCAATCTGCAGTCTCTTCCTTGCTGACCTTTAAATACCACTTAGTGTCATCAGAAAATCAAGGAAATGCTAACAACAGGCTTTGAGTAAGAGAGTTATATATGAGGAATATAATTTGAAAACAATCATAAACTGACTTCCATTTTTATGCACATCTATTTTTGTAAAACGGAATTCTCACAGTACAGTCATATTTTAATAGATTAATCTTACATTTATTAATATGACATTAAAATTTTCAGAAGTATCCGTAAGATATCAAAACTTCTGTTTATTCTTGAGAAGGGAGTAGTTTGAAAAAGATGTTTTATAATGTCATTCTAGGTTGATGACCTTGGAACACAGAATGGCCTCTGCTTTAGGCACTTAATCTGTCATGTGTGGAGTTCAGCAGGCTATGGACTTTGGTAATCTTGTAAAAAGCTGACTGTTTGGTGTCTTTTGAAAAAGGGACTGGTATGCCTACCTCACCAGGTTACTCTGAGCCTTGATACTTCTGGTTTTTTAACAGTCCCTCTTTGCCCTTCAAAAAAGTCCTTGAGACCTAAATTTCAATCAGAAAAGCTAGTAGAAAAAAAAAAATCCTAAAATTAAACTGTGCTTAACCCCAAAGAAAACATCTGATACATTAGAACAAAAAAGAATGTTCCGTAGATTTCAGAAATATAATAAGGGGAAGAAACTAGCTGGCAAGTTTATAATGAAACAATGGTGAAACCTGAGGGCACCATAAGTAGGTACTGCAGCTGTTTCTTGCCTCTTTCCAATATCTACTTCATGGAATGGAAATGGACTTTCGTCCATGGTTGTGCTTCAGTACATGTTCCGACCCCTTGCTCGACTAGAGTTTAGCCTGACTGCTGACCAGTGCTGGTGTATCTGGTTTTGTGCTGGGTTTGCTTTGACTTAATTTAGGAAAAATAAAAACCAGAACTGTTTCTTGCTAGTTTGCATTACTTAATTGCTATTTGAAATGCTAGCAAAGTGCTCTAATGCTAGTGGTCTACCAAAGACTGTGATTGTACAAGTTGGGAGACATTTTTAAAAGCTTTTTATATAATTAATTTCCATTAATTTGCTTCTTATGAATTTATCTTTTTTTTTTCCTTTTCCTCTTTTTTTGTTTGTTTGGTTTTGTTATGAAACACACAGATTTGGTGAACTCATTTGGATTCTAAGCAGAACATTCATGCTAACCTGTTTGTCAAATGAAACGGAGGATAAGGGCTGACTTTTTTAGCCAGCAACATTGGCTGCAATTCTTGAGCTTGGCTTTCCTCACTTACACTGCTGTAATTTGAGTAATTCAATTGGTTTTCTGATAAGAAATTAGAAAAACAAGAAATGAGAGATCGTTGGAGTATTTGGCATGTACATATCAAGTCTCTGCAATTTTGCTTGATTAATATTGCATGCTCTTAATAGTTGCCTTGCTAAACTGCCTGAAAACCAAACCTCCAAAATCCCAGGATTTGGAAAGAAACTGCACTGCATCTAACACAACATAAAATATAAAATCTAGGTTAGGTATTGTCCCTCTAGATTAGTTTAACAACAAAAGATGAGCCATGCCAAAACCACTTGTGTCAGTATTTTGTGTCCAAGGTTTTTTTCTCTTAAAGCTAATGAAAAAACGACACACATGGGAGAGCTTGAAGGTCTGCCTTCAGTTAGACAAAGCTCTTATTGCTGAATGAGAGGGCTTTCAAAACTACTTTGAAATTATTGTCATTCCATTCCCTTGGAAGCCGCAGTGAGTTTTTATTTTAGGGGAAGTGTCTTTACATGAACATTCTTGAAATGCTTAGCAGGGGAATAAAGGGCTTGATATAAAGACTGGACTTGTAAAAGAAAACATAGATGTATTTCCAAAGTAGAGGTTTTTTTTTTCTTTCATTAAGGTCTTTTTGTTTTAAACTATTTATAGTGTCATGTAAGTATTACGTTTTTTTTTCCCTGTATCTTCTGTTAGGAAATCCAATCTTAAAAAAAAGCCCAACCAGCTTTAAAATGCTTAGTTGTTCATCACTGTATTCCTTTACAATGATCTGTTACCAGGAAAAGGATTCTAGTAGCTCTTCAACCACAAGACCTTGAGATAGAATTGAATAGGATAATAATTTTAAACTGCTTATGGCCTATCTTCTTACCAGTACCCTGTATTTGTAGTGCTAGTAGGGAAGTCTTAGGGAGTTTTTATTACTTGTATACATCTTTGTCTTTTACCAGAAATTCCTTAACCTTTTTTATCCAGTAAGGAAAAGCAAAGAATTAATACAGTCACTAAAGCATATCTGTAGAATGAATTTGAAGTTATTTTGTCCAGTTGTTTTATAAAAATGTGTCAGAAGGGGAGAGTACATCGTATTTCACCCTGTGACCCTGTGATTTCTGTAGGAGTAAACAAATTTTATTTGATAAAACCAGGTACAATATGCACTGAGAATGACTTAGAACTTGTAGCTTACAGATGAGATCATTATTTTTTCCACTGCCCAAGATATAGGCCCAAGAAAAGGCTGTATTTTTTGTAAGACTTAGACCTAATGTTTTAAACCCCACCTTCCATTTTGAGCTTTTTTCTTCATTTGCTAGAAGGGAAAAGATGCTATTGATGCCGTTAAATTCAGAGAAATTGGTAACGAAAATGTTGGGGCCAATACTGCTTTAATCCTTCAGTAAAACTCTAGACAGGTAACATGCCCTGTTTGTGCTAAACATATCATTCCAAGGTGAAAGGTACTATGCAGTGTGCAACATAGAATTTAACAAAAGCGTCCTAAGTCAGTGATGATTATTTCATGGGTAGTAAATGCAAGATGACACAAATCAGTTTGCATTTCAGTTGCTTTCACAGGAATCTACATGGAACTTTACCAGGCAGTCAGGAGCCTGTATTAGATACACCTTTACTTATTTCTCTATTTTTTAGCTCTTATGCTTCATCAGTGCTTCCTCAACAATCCTAAAATTGTGGTTTTGAGCTTGCTGCCCCATATTTTGAATTTTACCTAAGCTTGCCTTTTGCATTTGTAGAAAGGAATTATCATGGCATGTCACAAATCAAATTCACTGCAAGTTGCACTCCTACAGATATCCAGATATCCACCACAATGATGAGGGAGGTATATGATTGAGGCAAAACATTTTCCATCACTTTCCAGATTGTCAAACTTAGGTTCAAAGAACTACTTTTTAAATAATTTCTATTTATTGATTGATTGATTGATTGATCAAAAATTATGGCATTTCGGGTGACCATTATTTCCTGCCAGTATGTATTCTGTGGTTTTGGACAAAATTCCACCAGAAGGCTTTGTGTCCTTGGTGGATGAGTTTTGCAAATGTGGTAGCATGTTCTGTTGTGATAACAACAGCATTATCAACCATTCTCATCAGTCTATGTTTCCAGAATAGCTATTCTGCTCCAGGTCATGGTGAAGTGGTATCAGTGGTGATTTCCACAGAAGATATTTCTGGGAAGAAGTTACAGTCTCATAACTTAATTAAACAGTAAAATCCTCCTTTTAATATGAAAGGTTTTCTTAATTAAAAAAATAAAAAGGTGACTCAGATTTTGAGGGAAAAATTTTTGCAAGATTTTTATTAGCAGAATTTAAAAAAATTGTATTGAATTTAAGAGTTAAAACTAAAATCAAAATGCACACTTTCAAGCAACCATGTGTACTAGTCTTTCGTGTTTGTAAATTTAGTACTATATGGCTGCATATATCTTTGCATACTTATATAATAATGCATTAAGACCTTGATCGGAAATCCATTAAACAGTTTTCATTGATTTTATTAAGTTTTCAATGAGAACTAAAGCAATTTTTAACATTAAGGAGTTATTTAAAAAGTTTTCTGCTTCTTCTTTCATCTGGGCCTCTTAAAATCCAGGGTGATGCCTGTCAGTAGGATTTCTTTTCACCAAGTTAAATTGTTGTTTTTGGTAGATTGTAAGTGATTATGCTTGATTCTGCATGTAAATTAGAAATAGTTTACTGGTAGCAGAATATCTCTTGCATAAATCTGCAGTAAAGACTAAGGTAAATCAGGCAGATTGATAATAAAATAGACAAGCCTGAGACACTGACAGCACTTTATTAATACAGCATTCTCATTTAAGAATAAATCTTGCTTCCAGAAGTGTGTAATACTTGTAATTTAAATGCACTGCAAATACATTTGTATAACTGTAATTATGTGTCTTGATGAAGCTTATATTTTAAATAGCAAGCAGCAGTGTTCCCATCAATATTACTGTTAAACCACAATAGGTGCTTATCGTGCCTCCTGTATTATTAAAACTGCCTGTAAGCTTTGTTCCACTTGACCTTTAGAAGTTTCCAAAAGTTACAGTTTGCAATTCAGCAGGTTTGGCAGAGGTACATACATGATTATTCATATCATTGTTTAAACGGTAACCAGATGTGTCTTGTTTTTCTTCTTTCTTTCCCATTGTTTTTAAAGAGTGATGTTAATCCAAGATGTTAATCCATTTACAGGGTTTTTCCACAGCACCAAATTCCCCTTCAGTGAATTCTCGTTCCAGTGGCCTGGGTCCATCACTGTCCCTTGGTAACATCTCTGGAATGACAGCAAACCCAGAAGTGAAAAAGCGCAGAGCACCTCCTCCACCAGTTGTGACGCCAGTGTTGCCGAACGTGGAGGTGAGAGGTCAAGAAAAGACAGCAGCACAGGTAACACTGACACCACTGAATGGGCTTCTTTGTCTGGTGTGCTGGGTACCATCATGAGATCTAAAGCCATTCCCAGATATTTTGGCTAGCCCCTGACTACAGCTGACCAAAACTTGATCTTACAAAATAAAATTAACAAAAGTCTTGGAGTTTTGTACATATTTAGTGAGCATTATTGAGACTGCCCCAAGCTTTCTCCCACATCAAGAATCCTTCTAAATCAGAAACGTTTTGTGAGGCATTGACTAAAAGAAAGAGGGTGAAGAAAAAGTAAGGCAGAAAAGCTGGAAAGGTGACTAAGTAAATAAGTGTATAAGGTGACTAAGTATCCTTATTGGCAAGGGCATTCCTGGAGAATGGGTGACAGTTCTACTGAGTGACAAAAACCTTCAGCGTACTCCTTTGTCTAGATACTTCTCAGGCTATCACCTGTGTCCCTGTTGCCAGTGCTATCATGGGATACCGGAGTATCTGCTCTGTTTTTTGAGTGTGTGACCTGTGCTGTGTGACCTTTTAAAGCAGTGCTCTGGTTTTGCTTTTATAAAAGGTTACTGTTCCACAGTAGTTACAAAGAATGAAACAGAAATGGGGACGAAATTCCGCTCGCTTTTATAGTGACACTCAGGTATGTATGTTACTAAACATGTGCAAGCATGTTAAGTCTGATTCCATCAGTAACAAAGAGTATTACATTATAAATATAAACTGTAAAAATCAATGTGCGAAGCTACATATGGATGCCAAATAGGAATGCAAGGAACCAATACCATCAAGGCTGTGCAATGTGGACCGACTCTTATCTGCTTAGGGCTCATCACCTTTGCAGTGGACTGATCTTTGGAAAACAAATTGTTTTAGTGCAAAATGGAGTCAGGAAGGAATCTTCTAGTCCACCATAGAGGAGGAGGAGGAGGAGTCTAGGGCTCAGTCTCACTGCCCTCAACTTTTTTATTTATCTGCATTAAGACATGTGTTAAATGCCTATTCCAGTGAAGTATTGTGTAAGAAAACTTGATGCACACTCCTAGTATAGGACTGTGGATTTTTGTTTTCACATTGTTAGGATATCTAAGTGTGATTACTGTAACAGAGCAGTGTTTCGTCTTTCAAAATTGGAATACGTGTCTCTGAAATAGAACTCATTTACAGACACAGCTGAAGAGAAATAACAATGTTCTTGCAACATTTGATGCACTTTTTTCCTCAAAAGTTTCTCTTGAAATTCCTATTGTGAATATTTTTTGAGGTTTTTTGCATCCATCAGAGTCAAACATTTAAAGTGTTTAAGATAAATAGAAATTTTTGACAAAAAATACTATAGCATTATAACTCCTGAATTTGTACAAGTATGGTAATCACAGACTGCATTATTCTGCCATTCTCTTTAGCTGATCTCCTTGAAGTGTGGCATTGAGATTTTAAATTATGATGCACAATAATGCTGAAAATGTAACCCCTCTTCAAAGATGTTAACATTTCTATTTTCATCATTGTTGCAAATAGGTTAAACTGCTGGTTTTCTGAAGCCATTGGAAGAAAAGTATGTGTTCTATTTATTGCAAGTAGCATACAGTACAGTGTCAACTTCAAATTTTCTTAGTCTGAAGGAAAAGCTATTTTGAAGAAGGGAAATAATGAAAGTTGTGTCAGAGGATTTTCCATGATGAAGTACCTTTTGAGCAAAAGTGATGTCCTTTGTAGCTGACAACACCAACAAAAAAGCAAAGTAAATTATGAGTACAGGTGCTAGAGTATGTTTGACTGCATTTGTTGAGTAAAGGACGTATTTCTGAAAATGATGGCATAGGTCAAAATATTAGAGAGTTATAGTGTGTTTCTGAACCTCCCAGGCTGAACGTTGCTTACAGGATGCCATGTAGTTTTAACGGATTGCATGGAGTACAATTGAAATAAAGCACAAGTTTCATGAAGCAATCAAAAACTGAGAGAAGAGATTAATTGTTTAATATTATGGGGCCAGGTAGCAACAGAGATATTGTTTATAGGAAAAGCCAAACAGTTCCATTTTATCTACGTGCAAACTAACCAGTTTGCTGTGAAAATAGAGTAAAAAATCTCAGGGTGTAAGTTTATTTCTTCAGTTTATGGGAAAGAATTAGCACTGATTTTTTTTTCTTTTCAGGGAAGGACGTCAATTCCTTATTAATGGACTTCCTTCCATAAAAAGATAAGATGTTTGTTTAGAAAACTTTATTTATGTGCAACTGTTACTAACAGGAAGATCCTGCGAAAGGGGAACATGTTTGTTTCCAGTGAAGCTAGCACATTAATAGAAAAAGAAAAAGGTGGTATTCTGAACTTCAGAAGGTTTTTTTTCTTTTTTAACTCTTGAGTTCCATAAAATTGTGTAGGAAGTCAAATACTGCAGCTGTTTATGAATACCTGTGGTTTGACTTTCCAAACTAATAAGCCCATTTTTTTTATGTTAATTAACATTGTTATATTCCAGGCCATTCAAGCACAGAAGATTCTTTAGGAATATGTATCTCATCTCCCTGCCTACTGGTTACAATCAGAAATTCCCATGTGTATGAAGACTAGGGTGTTTTAATTTATGCTGTACATTTAGATTCTCTCCACTCACTTTTCTGGATGAGTGGCTTACTGCAGTATAATTTTACCATATTGCAGCTTTTGTTACTGTGGGGCTTAAAATAATTTATCTCCTTGTGGATAAGGCCTCTGCAGTAACTTATGCTTTTTACAGCAATATTAGTTTTCTCTGTGTATTTGAAGGTAGTGTTCCCTCTGTAACTGTTTTAAATCTCCTCTAGAAAATATTCATGTCTGTCCAGGGTTCCTGAACATGCACTAAGTAGTTTGCAAAAGAATTCAGAGTCAAAGAAAAAGAGTCTACAGATTTCTTCCCTGGAGACTTCCCCCTATTTTTTTTTTTAAACATCTTCCAAGTGACACTATTTAGAATAATGAGAAGTCACCTGAAAAAAATATTCTTCAAAAGACCCGGGCTATGTAACAATTCCAATATGAAATTCAGGTGGTTTGATGTTTAAGAAACAAGGAGGTCCCCTCCTTTCTGAAGTTGCAACATGGAGCCCGCACCATCCAAAAAGTAGATCAGAACAGTGTAGGAGTGAGCTAAAACTGAACACCCATTGCAGACAGTCTCTGTTGTCTGTCACAGCACTCTAGATGATGTGCTAAAAGACTTTGGGGCCATCTTAGGATGGGCATACTGTAAACTGATTCCCCTACCGCCCACCAAAAAGCATGCACCATATAGACAAAATATAAGAGAAGACCTGTATGAGTCTGACATTGTAGACAGAGTACACAGAGGAAAGCCACATGTCAAATCTGACAGGATTACACATTTCTCCTTAGAGGCTTGTTCAGTGACATTTTTATAAAAAACAGAACTGTTTTTCTTGGAAAAAAACTACCCTTTTGGAAGAACCTGGAAGAGCTGTCAAAGTCAAGAGTATTGTGTGCTGCAAATCAGTTTATGGGAATAATTAATTTTTCATTTTTTTTAACATGTATGGGGAAATACAGAAGTTGGAGTGAGGGGGATGATAAAGACGGCCTCAGGGACTTTTTCAAGAGCCTTTTCTATGAAAAGGAGTGGTTTATTCAAAAAAAGATCATGAGGCTTTTTGGAGACAACATAGAATTAGATGAGGGCTCTTCAGTGCCTTCATGAGTATACTAGCTCTGATGTCAACTTCACAAGTCAGAAGTGCAACTTGTAGACTGTGATAAACGAACTGTGTGCTATTTCAGCTTCTGTGATTTTCAGAACAGAAGCACTGTCTCACAATACATAGATGTAACAGGAGGTATCTGGGATTTGTTACTAGCCAGTCAAATTCCTGTACTAATAGAAGAATAGGGCAATATACCAGATACAATATTCTAACATTTGTTTCATAAACTTTAATCTTGGTTGTTATGTGGCTAGACAGTGGGCTTATATAAAAAATGTATTATTGTTCTTAGTGCAGGTGAAGAACTGTACTCACACTTTTAGAAGGTTGCGTTATAAACCAACACAATTTCCAGGTTTATTTTCTTGTTTGTATAGTCTCCTGTATGTTGCTGTAATCAAACGAATGTACGGAATATACAGTTTTGCCCTGCTTCTTATGTTTCTCTCTCATCTCCATTTAGGTTTCAGACTCGGGTTGCTGAGGATGGTTATTGACTCTGAATTCTTGGTCAAGGCCATAAATTTAGAGCAGAATTCTTGCACCCAGTTTTATATCAAGGCTAATATTTTTTCACCACTTATAACTTATTCATTGAAGAGCCTTACTCACATGAATAAAAAGGAATATTGCAGCCAAAGAGAGTTTACTCAGATCACTGCTGGCAGTTTTCTTTCTCACTGCCTGCCGTTACAATAAACCAATTTTATGCCTAAGTGGCAAATTTAGCTTTAAGAGAATCATTTTAATGGGAGCAAATGTAAATGAGACTTTTATATCTTTCCTGGAGAAAATAAGATACACTAAAAATTTGCCAAATTTCTTTCTTACATAGAAGATATTTTCAGTAATTGCTACATTTTTGCCATCTTGGTGATTTCTTATACTGACCACCATATAGGGTGGCTTTTTTTTTTTCTTTCTTTTTAATGTGTTTCTGTGTTGGACATAGCAGTGCTGCAGAGCTAGCAGGACCCTGGGTTAGGCATCCTATACATTTAGTACCATTTTCCTGCCTTTGGTAGGGTTGCCTTTCTCACAGCAGAATTTGTGTCACAGTACTATTCACTGTCCTTTTATTCATAAACTAATATAAATAGAATGTAACAGGGATTGAAAGCTTATGTCCCTCTTGTTTGATTGAGCATATTAACCACTATCTAAAGAACAAAAAATATTCTAGTGAAATGTCCTTCTGGAAGCCACTGAATTCATGCCCATCTGCAGGCAACTCTGAAATACTTTAAATGACATTGCAAATGAGCACAGTGTGTAGTGAAAACATTCCTGGAATTCATTCTGCTGGCAAGA